ACCTCACTCCAGTTAGACTGGCTATTATCAAAAACACTGAGAATAACAAATTCTGGCAAGGATGTAGAAAAAGGGGAATACTTCTGCACTATTGGACCATAAATTAGTACAGCTATTATGGAGAACAGTATTGAGCTTCCTCAAACAACTACAGATAGAACTACTACAGATAGATCCAGCAATCTCACTACTGGGTATATAGACAGAGGACTAAAAATAATCATTTCAAAGGCATACCTGCACTCCCATGTTTATCACAGCTCTATTACAATAGCTAGGCTTATGGAACCAACCTGAATGTCCATCAGTGGATGACTGAATAAGGAAAATGTGGTATATATACACAATGGAATACTACTCAGTCAAAGGAAAGAATGAAATTCTGCCAGTCACAGCTACATGGATGAGCCTGGAGAAAATTATGCTAAGTGAAACAAACCAGATGCAAAAAGGGAAATACCATGTCTTCACTCATAAGTGGGAGCTGAATCTAAATAAATAAACAATAGAGAGAGAGAAAGAGCAAGAGAAAGAAAATAACAATAATCACAACAATACATTGAACTTTCAGAAGAAGAGAAAAGAGGGCCTGCCCCATGGCTCACTCGGGAGAGTGCAGCACTGGGAGTGCCAAGGCCACGGGTTGGCTCCTATAAAGGGATGGCCAGTGCACTCACTGGCTGAGCGTGGTGCAGACAACACCGTGCAGAGGGTTGTGATCCCCTTACTGGTCAGAAAAAAAAAGAGAGAGAGAGAGAGAGAAAAGAACTGTGGTTACTAGAGATGGAAAAGGGGAGGGGAGAGAGAAAATGAGAAGGAGGAAGTTAACAAGAAATTGGCTAAGGGACAAAAAGTATGATTATTTCTGTTGCTTATAACAAAATACACAGAACTGAGTATTTTGCAAGAAAATAAAATTTATTGTTTACAGTTTCAGAGGCTCGGAAGTCCAAAGCCCAGGGAACATATCTGGTGATGGGCTTGGTGGTGACTTCAGTGATGCAGGGTATCACATTGTGAAATGGCAGAGCAGAGAGAACAGAGAGAAACCTCCTCATTCACTCTCTTCTTAAAGCCCTCAGAACCATGCCTCTGACCACCATTATTAATCCATTATCACAGTCAGATTATTACCATTACTTCACAGTCCTGCAATCCAATCACCTCTTCAAGGCTTCACCTTTCAATAACCATAATAGGATTTCCCACCCTCTTAAGAGTCACAGTGAAGGCTAACTTTCTAATACATAAAACTTGGGGACACAATTCAAGCTTCTGTGAGCTCTGGGGAGATATAATTCAATCCACTACCTGTATTGTAATTATGAATGAGCTAACTATACTGATCTATCATCACACTTTATACACAACTATTGAGACTCAGCTTTGTATCCTATATATATGTATAATAAATTACCATAAAAAATAAATAAATATGCAATAACAAGTGTATATAAATGGAACATATGTAAAATACAACAAATGTCAAAGTTTAAACTCTAATTCAGTGTGAACCTAATCTCATATGTGTATAAATTTGGATATATGTATGTGAAGCATGAAGTTTTGTTTGACTTGGAAAGTATATGATAGGTGCAAATGTTAAATACTTTCTTTCATCAAATTATATATAGTATGGTCATACATCGTAGAATATATATTAATGCAGTAACTCTCAGGTATCTTTTCTAAAGAAAGGAAATATCTGACAAAAAGGTGCAATTCACAGAACTTCTTGAAGATGAGATATCATAACAGTCAGTGAGTGAATTAGGATTATAACCCAGCAATAAAGTGCAATGGCCAGATTCAAAAAATAGTTTGCACAGAAAATCCTCAACCTGATTAATTTGTGAACAGAACCATAAGTATTGACTGAGTATCAGAAAAGCAGACCTCAGCATTAAGAGAAGTACTGACTTTCAATATTAACATAAGGAAAACAGTAGAAAAAATTTTAAATTCAGCCAAAAGTTTGATAATATGGATAATATTGTATACTCAGATATGTGGGTATGTTAAAATTCTTTTTCTTTAAAAAAAAAAAAAAGGAAAACTGAAATTTGTGGTGCCATTGTTACTCAATTAGTATCATCACAGAAAAACATTTTAACAAAATTTGTGGAAGTAAAAATTTTCTAAAGTATTTCATGAGTAAATTTTTTCATTCTTAAAAAGCAAATCATATATTAAGTCATCTATCATTATTCTCTTAAACTTTGTATTATCAGAAATATATAGTGAAGACGTTCATATATTCCTTTAGTTTCATATTAACATTTACAGTTTCATATATACACGTCTTGCAAGATATAACAGGGCACTTCAAAAAGTCTGTAGAGAAATATAATTAAAAGATGATACAAGTCTTTCCATGATCCCGTTGCCGGTCCCGGTCCGGTACGGGCGCAACACTGAGGGTTACGATCCGTTAACGGACACGAAAAAAGACAAAGACAAAAAAAAAAAAAAACTTTTTGAAACCTCATATACATATATACACACACATACATATATATTTCTACCATCATCTTATTACCAGCAAAGAAAAGTATTCTGCATTGACCAAGTATTTTTCCATGGTTTCTTAGGTCTCAAGAATGGACCTTAGAAGATTTAATACAAATTTGTGCATATTGTTTGTTTGTGTGATTTTATGATAAGTGGATCTACAGCTTTCCCAAAGGCTAAGAAGACCCGTTCGAGGTAGAAGAAAGCCGCAGTTAGTGATGGTGGAGGAGTGGAGTGTAGACACCATGCTGTGGTGTCTGGTTTTATATACTCTTCTTCCGCATGGCTGTAAAATCCTCTTTATGTTATTTGATATCCTTGAGCCTCAATTTCCCAGTACATAAAATAAAGATAATAACAAGAACTACTTCAGAGGTGGATTTACCATGAAATTAATGAAGCTTATGTTTGGGGCCCTGGCAATGGGTTCACAAGATCAGGTGTTTTTGTAAAATTTGCAAAATTGTGTACTCTTAAAAAAAAAGAAAGATGCTTCCCAAATTGTATAACTTCCCATCCTGCCAAAATTGGATTCTTCTCTTGTTCACCTCAGTGATTATATTGAGGATTAAATTAGATAATACATGCAAAGCTTTAGGACTATTCCTATAACAGAAAACACTTGATTAGTGTTCACTATCATAATTATTATCAAGTATCAGAGGCAATGTGCTTGTGTTTGTTTTTCCCATTGCAATTGAATATTTGCAATGAATGTGCAATTGAATATTTTACATCTTACATAGTATGGGTTAAGGATGTTTAAAGAACAGCTTAATATGTTAACAGTCTTCTTAACAAATTTGGAAAGAGAAATAAGATGAAATATATTGATTCAAATTTTAGACCTATTCAAATATATTTACCAAGGGGGTAGCTTTTAGAATTTAATAAACATTGAATGGTATTACAAAATATTGTTAATTTTCCTCAGTGCAATGATGTCATTGGAGTCTGATTGAAGAATATCTTTTTCTTAAGAGAAGCGTGACAAAGTATTTGTGTTGTACTATCTCGAAGTTGGCAACTTGCTTTCAAATAATCTAGAAGAATATGCATGCAAACATGTGTAGATAAAGCAAATATTATAAGATGTTAACAATTGATAAACTGTGGGTATTCACTGTGACGTTCTTCAATTTTTCTGGATGACCGAAAATTTTCATAATAAAATTTTTGTAAAACAACAATAACAAAAAAAATAGAATTCAATCAAGACCATGTTTGCATTTTGCTGAAAAAATTTAAGATATTTATTCAGAGAAAACTGTAGTATCATGCAGAGAAAGGTTGCCAAGTGAGATCCCACACACTTTTCAGTTGGCTATTGCAAGAAATAATGAGTAGAGGGTTGAACTTATCAAAACTACATAAATTTCCTCACATCTATACACAATCATTCAAATATTCAAAGATTTAGCAATGTTTACAAAGGAGGCCATGCAAATTTCTGAGTCGTCATATTGCAATTTTGATGTATATAACTCCTATTTTACATTCATAATGTAAATCATATTCATATGATACCTGTTTTACAATTCATAATACAAATAACATCATATATTTTAATAACATACCTAGAAGTTACAGATATGGACTACTTCCATAAATGATGATTAATCACACAAAGAATCACAATAAATATTATTGACTTATGACTAAGCTCCACCTTTTGAATTTTTTATTATTTTCTTCAAATTAAGGATCTATATCTAACTGTATATATATATATTCGTATAACTTCGTATAATGTATGCTATACGAAGTTATTACGTATATAGGCAACCGGGGATATGGAAATGAATTTACAAATAGATGTGAAACTGGTGAATAGTTACAAAGTAACAATCAGTTGTATGGTACCAGGCAAAATTTATAACATTATTATGGACAATAATCATTCGTTATATATATATATATATATATATATATATATGTACACACACACACACACACACACATATATATACATATATATACTAGTTATGAGTAAAATTCTCCTGGAAAATATGACTTGTATTTCACATAATAGGAGTTTGAATATTATCCTAATTGAATCATGGAGTCATTTGGGAATTTATTTTATGCTTCAAGATAAAACAAACTTAAGAAAATTTGCTAGACTTAGTTCCAGCTGCAGCCTAAATCCTGAAGCAATACTGATTTATACACATACTGAATTGCTTTTTGAATCACTTTTAATGTGAGATATAAATATATAATGTGTATATATGTGTATATGTATGTGTCTATGTCTGTTTGTGTGTGTATATGCATATATACAACATATACATACAACATATATATACAACATATATATATATATATAATAATTTAAAGTCCTGTTCGGAGAAAAATGTTTGTCTTGCATTTCTTAGTCAATCATGAAACTGGATAATGAAGTAGCTAAGCAACAGCAATAGGAAAACTATTTAATTCTGCTCTCTCAACAGGAATAAAAAAGTCAGTACTGAGTTGAACGGCCAAAATCACAGTGCCATTTCCTGCTTCATGCTGTGCCCATTTAGTAAAACAGAATTGGTCACCATGTTCTTAGCATTGCTTTTGAGAGAGGTCATGCGTACTGCTGATGAGCTGAGTAGGTAACTGGTTGATCTCTCTTGATTGGACTTCTTCCCACAACGGAGCTGGCTGTTGAAATGCCTCCTGAAGCTTTCACTGAGTAGGTAAAGAGCAAATGGATTGACACAAGAATTGCAAAAACTCAGAACCCGGGCAACTAAGGTAACCATCATATGGCCAAGAGATGGGTCAATCTCATTATAGTTAAAAGACCGATACATGTAGAGGATGTGATTTGGAAACCAACAGAAGACAAAGCAGCCCACAAAGACCAGCACAATTTTAGCCAGGCGTTTCCGTGTTTCCATCTGCAAATATAAGGAAATAGTCCTTTTGTTTAAAGTGAAAATGGAGCCAGCCACATCCGAAATCATGTCACAAAAGGAGCAAAACTTATCACAGCATGACATACATCCAAACTACATAAATTATTTACTTTCCTCGTCAACGTGATGACTTCAACAGTTTAACAAAGCCTATTTTGGTCACTACACTATTTTTGTTTTAAAATGTTTGACAGCTTATACAAGACTAGATGATAAATTATTGATAAATGGCTATGTCTTCATTGTTAAAACTGTGATCCTGGGCCGGCCCGGTGGCACACTGCTACAGTGCGCCACTTGGGAGCACGGCGGTGCTCCCGCCGAGGGTTCGGATCCCACATACAGACCGGTTCCCGCTCACTGGCTGAGCGAGGTGTGGGAGCAACACCGAGGGTTGCGATCCCGTTGCCGGTCCCGGTCTGGTACGGGCGCGACACTGAGGGTTGCAATCCGTTGCTGGGCACGAAAAAAGACAAAAAAAAAAGGAAAAAAAAAACCAAAAAACTGTGATCCTAAAAAACTCTGCCTTACTTTTAATTATCTTCCTTTTGCTTAAATTATCATTGTGTTCAGTATAAATATAAATCATTTCTGTTTGTATTAAATCCACTAAATTAATGAAGCATAGAATATACTAAAGCTTAGGATTTTTTCAAACATCAGGTTATTTTAAATAGGAAAAAAATAATCTATTGGCACAGGGCTTGACTATTTTTAACTCTTACTCCACAGAAAAAGAACTTGAGATTTAAACTCCTGAATTACATGAATCAAAAGCATCTGATATAACTGTGAATCCTGTAAACATGACTACGTTAGGCCACCATTATAATTAAAAGTACATTTATCTTTTTTCATGGCACATAAGCTGGACCTAAGTGGGCCTTTGCAGGGCTATAACATAACCACATACAAGGGTACTTCAAAAAGTCTGTGAAAAAATAGAATTGAAAGATAATATGAATCTTTCCATGCACTTTTTTAAGTACCCTCATATTAGAGGTCCCCAACATCCTTTCTAGTCAAGGCTGATGCAGGCCCAAGTCTGTTCTCTTCATTCACGGGATTGAGAGACCATGAAGCAGAACACAGAACAGCACTTGCTGGTTCTGACCAGTGCACCCCCAACACACACACCTACCCAGCTTACCTGCTTTTTGGTATGTTCATTGTATTCTCCAGGTAGATTGTGTGCACTTTTAATCAAGGTCCTTGCAATATGATAATAATAAACGCTAATAATAGCAAGTGGTATGAGGAAATAGATCAAGAAAATGAGCACCGAATGGATCTTTGGATGTAATTCGTCCATCTGAGGGTAGGGTATACATGCTGTGAAGCTGCTGTTATCCAAGCTCCCGACATGCGCCACTTCTGAAAACACAGCTTCAGGAACCGCCAACAACACGGAGACAAGCCAGATGGCCCCAGCCTTCACACAGGTCCACAGCACGGCCCCTGACGACTGCATGTCCAGGGGGTTGACAATGGCTCTGTACCTGGGAAGGCAATATGTCTCCAATTAGTCTCTTATAAAGAAAGGAAGAAGGAAATCTTTCTTAGTAAGACCTGTGATTCCACTACTGTGTCTTGAGTTAAATATTGATATTAGCTCTTGACATCCTGTTATGGTAGTTGAAGATTTTCTCCCTTATATAACCTTTACGCTAGTTTTGCTCTAGTAATGTATATTGTCTTGATAAAGTATAGTTAATACATAATTATTGTGGCTAAACAAATACCATTTACTGAAGAGTTAAGTAGTATGCTGTGATGATGTTCTTCCTCATACACATCTCCGACTTTCCTAGAGTTAATACTTGCTCATTTTTCCATTTGCATAATTTTCCGTGTACCTAAATTTAATTTTTTTCTAAATGTTTCTTCACCACCTTCCTGAATAATTGCAGTCCTAGTTCTTGAATCTTTCTCAGTTTTTCCACATTTATCAAGCTCATCATCACCTTCTTCTTGGTTTTATTTTCTAAGATAGTCTGTTAGCTTTAGCTTCAATCCTTTTTTCTAAATGTTTTATTTCTGCTGTCATGTTTTTGTTTTCTAGAAGAATTTTCTTGTTTTCAAATCATATCATTTCTTTTTCATAGCATTCTGTTCCAATGTTACACGTGTACATTCTTGCCACATACCTATGACTCTAACACAGAAAAAATGTAATCTTCTCTTTCTAGAATAGTTCTAGGTTTTGGTTGGTTGGTTGGTTTCTTTGTGCTGGAATATCTCCCCTAAAGTTACACAATTATTGACTGACAATTCATACTTCAGAATGAAAAACCAAAAACCTGATGATAAATTATTTTTTTATGTGGAAGAGGGCAAGGAAAGGGCAGAGAGATGATCACTACAAATAGGTCAATCCTTCTTTTTAGAATATCAGAAACAGCAAAGCGTATTCTGAACTTTCCTCCATGGATTTAAAAAGAAGGGAAATGTTACTTCTCTACCCCATATCTAAGCATTGTATTGCAGAGGCTCCATCTTCATCTGTTGGGGCTGCAATAATAAAATACCAAAGATGGGTGACTTATAAACAAACTTGCTTCTCAAATTTCTGATGACTGGGAGGTCCAGGATCAAGGCACTGACAGATTCAGCGTCTGGTGAAGGCCCCTTCCTGGTATATAGATGGTGCCTTCTTGCTATTTCTTCACATAGTGGAAGGAGCAAAGGTCTCTCTAGGGTCTTTTTAATAAGGGTACTAATACCATTCGTGAGGGTCCTACTTTCATGACTTAATCACCTCCCAAAGGCTCCACGTCCTAATACCATCACCTGGGGTGTTAGGATTTCAACATATGAATTCTGGAGGAACAAATATTCAGACCATAGCAAGCACTATAACCATAAAGCATGTTGGGAAACTTCAAATATGAATTAAAATGATAAATCTCTCATTCTGATAAGATTGCTGGCAATAGATACAGAATTCTTGGTTTAGGGAAAGCACAAAACTTTGCAGGAATGCAGGTCAAGGATAAGACAGTCCTTTTCAACAGGGTGGATTCTGAGCCAACTCCTGTGAGAAAGGAAGGCTAGACCCCAGGGGTAGTCCTTAAATGATATACATTTGAATGAAAGGGAAGTATTGCAAATTTTACAAAACCAGAAATTATAGTTGACAATAACAGATTACCAAAGTGTCGTTATTAGTACAGAAACTTAGCTTTCAATTTTCAGATAATGTTGTACACCAACCAATGTTGTATGTGCATCTTTGAAAGGATAAAAAATACAAAGTAAAGCAATATAAGGCAAATTAATGTGCACGTGATTTATCATGCTTCCTTTAAATATTTATAGAAAATGTGGGGGAGAAACCTCTCAGTATGAAAACTGTTTCACTGAGTATAGTAGCATTCAAGGTATGTCTGAAAAGTTACGTATTTTTCCTTACAAACAGTATCAGAAAGATATCTCTAATTGAAAACCAAATACTAGACAATAATCAATCAAAAGGCAGATAAAGAGAAACATAATCACTATTCATGTATTAAACATCAATAGATATACCTCATTGATTCTTATTTTGGATCTTGCTTATGATATCTATCTGTGTACAGTCTAAATTTAAGGTAAAGATACAATTAAATTTAATCATAATACAAAATATATAATGAAAATTAGATCATTTCTTAGCTCTTACAAAGTCATCATGACATCCCCAAATCTTAATTTCCACTTTTCCTCAAACCTTTCTAGTTACATTACCCCTAGTTTTTTGTTGTTTTTGTTTGTTTGTTTGTTTGTTTCTTATCAGACTTTCCTTTATCAGGAAAGGAATAGGCCAAAAAAGAGTCTAAGTGTGAACTCTATGACAATAGTGAGAGGTCTCGCTCACTGTTTCATCTCTAGTACATAACACAATGCCTGGCACATGGTAGGTTCTCAATAAATGATTGTTTAACTAATAAGGAAAATGTGGCCTGAGCCAAAAGGAGGTCACTTACTAAGAGCAATAATGGAAAAGTGGGGTGAGAGTTGTTGGATATTAGACTGAGGTACAAATGGTGATGAGAAATGGAAGCAGAGTCTAGACTAGCTGCATCAATCTTCAGAATCAAGTAGAGAACTGAAAAAAGCTCAAGTGTACTATCAGGTTTCTCTGCAGACTTTCTGATGCAGAATCTCTAGGATGTGAAGTATGAGATTCTGCATTTTACCAAGATTTTCAGGTGATTCTGAATATCAGCCAGGTTCAGAAAGCACCGTTCAAGAAGATTGAGTGCAGCAGTGAGCATCTTTTCCACAGGCTTCCTGAAAGCTGTCTAGTGGAATGGGTGCACATTCTGGAGCAGCATTAGGAGTATCTTGAATCCAGCAGAAGTTCCATATTTGCCTGCCCATTATGATTATGTCACCTCATGTTGAAGACATTTTTATTTTGCAAATGAGAAAAACACTGCCTTATGGGCATGTGTTTGTGCTGTTTATCATTTTTCTCCAAGCAAAACATTTGGACATAATGAATGCAGGGTTAGCACCCAGCCAGATACCATAAACTCCAGTCTGGTGCATTCCCTCCTTACAGTGTGTCCCAAAGCTTTCAGATCAAGGTAGATGAAAAATCTTCAAAAACTATAAAGCAGGTTATAAATTATGGCAACATTATTAGTATTCTAAGAATTGTACAGTGCCTCTCTAATTCAATGTGTGGGATTCCTTCTAAGGAGAAGGGAAAAAGAAATAAGCTGGAAGTGTTTGGGATCTATGAGTAAAAGACATCTAATTTATTGGAGTCAAATATAACAACCTTTATCTAACCATAAACCATGTAAATTCTGATTAAAAACTAATAAATTAAGTGCAGAAATTACAATTCATCCTGTTTCTATGGTTATATAAAAATAACCAGTGAGCATTTGTCATGGAAGGCAAATTTTCCTTTTTGAACTGTCAACTGGAAAACTCTCAGAAAAACTTGACTCACATTTTGTGAAAGTATGGGTCATCTTATAATTTTCAGCTTTTATTTTTCCTACCTCCAGTTTTCTCCTTTTTTTGTTCCTGTTTGTGTGTTGTTTGTATCTTTATTTTTAAACTGCCTTAAAGTCTTTTAGAACAAGTTGAAAATAAAATATCATCACCCTGGTACCATGGTTATCTGTAGGGTGAGCGTGGATTATTCTCCAAGGTATGTATGTGTGTCCAGCCTGAACTCTCGAGAAGGGTTAGAAGCACACTCTGAGTGCCAATGCCAGCACCCACTGAGAGGCCAGGGCTTCTTATCATACCGTCTAGGGCTGTGGAGCAAAGAAGAAAACATCTCAAGTCAGGGGAAGCTGGTTATCCAGTACATGAGCTTCAATCAGGAGTTTGGATGAGAAATTGGAAACAAATAACAGCACTTCCTCCCACTACCAGACAAAGAGTGATGGAAAAGTCCTGTGAAGCCTAGGGAGTGTTAGACCTAGGGCCTGTATTCCATCTGCTTCGATATTGTAACAAATATATACTGAAGAGAATATGTTTGCATTGGTATAATATCCAAATAATATTCATGATCCAAGGTTCTGTCTAGTGACTCAGTTATGGAATTAAATCTGATTATCCTAACTAGCACACAAAAGTTTAAAATTATTAATACATTAGCACTATAATTAGATCTGGTGCAATATTATTTTTGCATTCAATCCAACATTGGCTATTTAATATCAGAAAAACAACACCCAATTCATTAAATTAGTATTAATTCTATTTTTATAGTTTTTTTTCATTTTTTAAATGTAATTTACAAATGCATTTTAGTTAACAGTTATATAAGAAGTCAAAATAAGGAATTGATATCTAGTTTTATATTTGTAAATAAGTAAAATTATGAAGGTTACAGTTTAGCACTAGGAATCTGTGAGAATTTTTCTTTAAAGAAAAAGGATAACTCCACACATAAGAGTTATTTGCATTTTAATAGTGGGTCTTTAGAGACCAAAGATTTTAAAAAATCATAGAAATAACATTCTAAGTTTGGAAATGCAGCTACTCTAACAGATAGAGAGGGAGATATCTCTAACACCAACCATAAGTATGGCTTATGGAGTGCCACCTATCTAATGTCGCATTACAGACTTCCCAATATTCCATAATGGGAGGTAGGAAAGTCTGTGTGTATGTATGTGTGTGTGCATGTTCATGTGTACATGTGTGGTTAAAACTGGTAGAAACATGATACAACAGAATATAAAAATACTTTTAATCAGCTATTTAAAGTGAGCAAGCAAAGAAGTACATTTTGAAAATAGTAACCAAAAAAATATATCAGGATACTATAAAAAAATAAACTGACAGCACCACTATCACCATTTCAGATCATGCAGTGTCTCCTTCAGCTATAGTGGTTCTCATATGCCTCTGAGGCATGTCTACAGTGAACTCGAATGATCTTTCCTAAGCATGGATCAGTTGAACCTCCTCAAAAGAGTTTGGAAGGTCAAGGATTGATAATCACAAGTACCCGACAGCATCACCTGTACCACCCTTTGGCCATATCAAACAAGGTTATTTAGGCCACAAGATAGATTCAGAAATACTGTATTTCTTATTTCAGTCTCTGCTATCCAGTGATGCTCTCATCAGTGATACTTAGCATTTAAGTTTCCACATTGGTATAGGCTTTCCCAAATCTAATTCTCTTCTTGGTTCTTTTTCTATATTACTGTGATTTCTATTTCTTAACTCTCTACCTTTATTTTGTTAGGGAAAGACACTTAAGCCATCCCATGAATATAGGATATATGGTTAAACAAATAATTGATTTTGTTGTTTAAAAACTCTGGCTTTGGGTTTTGTTTTCAGTTTCCTATTATTGCAACTACTATTCAATTTTGAAATCAAGGTGCTTCTTGTATTTTGCGGCTACGTTTTATGATATTCTTTCACTCTAATGCAACAGCCTCTGCAACCTCTTTTTTTTTGTTTTTTGGGGTTTTTTTTTTTGTTTTTTTTTTTTTTTTTTACTCTTGGTGCTTTGTTTTAAACTTAACTTTTCAGTCTGCTATTAAACAGGAAAGACTTAATAATTTCTTATACCTGGAAACATAATAATGTGGCTTACTGGTGAAGCCTGCAGGCTTTGAACTCAGTCAAAATGCTGGCTTCATCACTCACTAGATCTAAGATCATGAAAATGTTATGGAATTTCTGGCTTCAGTTTCCTTAACTTTAAAATTGTTCATTTCAAAATAATAGCAATTACCTCATAGCATTGTGAAGATTATAAAATCACACAAAAAAATAGCAGAGTTTTAAGTGCAGTTAGTCTTATAACTGTTTCCACATCCACAATAAATCACAGCATTTGGTGAGATAAAGTAAGAGGAAATCAGGTACTAATCAACACTGGATCACTATGTTCTGGGGGAAAAAAGTGCAGATGATCTATAACAAACCATTTCCAATTTATTTTAAGTAAATGTTGGAATTTTTTGTGTAATTTCATCAGCAGTAACTCAGGTTCCTTAATTTATACTTCCAAAACACACATTGGTAGGCAAGGATAGTCTATGGACCAAGCAGAAGAGGCAGCCCACCTTCCTTTACCATTATTATTAAACAATTCATGCTGTATTTACAAAGAACATGATATACCTATGAAATAAAAAAAAGTCAGTAATTATATGAGGATTAGCATTCTCTGATCTTGGTCAGGGCAGATTTATCTGTGTGTTTTTATGACAATAGATTGACAAAACCGGTGTGAAATAAACTCAAGCTTTGGGTCTTGGTACTAACATCACGTTTTTAAAATGAAAATAATGATAGTAATTTTAACTATTGTGATAGCTAATTATTAAATTTTGTCCTAATCATTAAGTCAGTGTTTTTTACTTTCTAATTAAAATGGATCCCATAAAGAAAAGCAACTAAACTAAAAAGTCACAGTTTTGTTTTGGAATTCAAAGAAAACCTTTTAAGACATAGTATAAATGGTGCCTCAAAAACAAAGTGAGGTACAGAATTTACAAAAAAGGCACCCAATTTTCCAACAGTGCACTTTTGGAAATATATTACACAAACTAAAAAAGTGAAAAGATTTCAGTTTAAAAAGATAACAGCTCTCAACTCTCCACTGAATTACTGTATTTCCTTCAGTGAAGATTAACTATTCAATGCCAAAGTAATGTAAGGGTGTTATGGCAAATTTCAGGAAATTCAGATCCAGATTCATTTTTCACTAATAATATAATACGTAAATTAAAAAAGAGAGTGAACATCACCTTAATTATCCAAGTTAAATTGCTTATGTAAATAGCCTAAGTCAGCCCCCCATTCCCAGGAGAATTAAACCACAACTCCATGCAATGACACCTACCCAGACATTCTCTCCTGCTTACATGCCCAAAAGCATGATTATAGATATCTTGGAATACTGGCACTGAACCCCGAGTTTTTCTCCTAACTCTTCCAGAAAGACTTACATTTTGGGGGTCTCAATATCCATACTTGGAAAACGACAAGATTGAGCTAGCTGATCTGCAAGGAAGAATAATAGACACTTCATACCCTTAAGATATGTAAAAAGCATTCTTGATATCAAAGATTCATTTTTACAGCATTGTTTCAAGATACTGAAGTCTGGTACCTATCTGTGAAAAATAAAACATATCATTTGCCTTCAGGTATTAAACAAGAAAAATGCAAAAATCTTCCATATGGAGAACATTTATTATACTAATTATTTTCGCTTTAAATAATTGTAAATAATATTTCCCCTTATTTGGAAAAATCAAAATTAAACATTTGCCTAATATTAAGGCAGATATTCTTACCTAGCAGATTATTATCCTACTGAATAAGGAAAGTTCACTCCTAAGGTTTTAGGCACACACAAAAAGCTTCTACAAGACAGTTGCACTTTTGCAGTTTACTGTATAGTTTTTTTTAAAAAAACAGTTAATAAAGATTCCTGAAATGTGTGGGGGGGGGGGAGGAGGAGACACTAGGATGTGCAATTTTAAAGCTACTTTCAAATCAATGCAATTGTAATTTTTTAAAAAATATTCCTCATTTTTTTCAAGCTGCAAGTCTCAGTTTTAACTCTGTTTACTTTCCAGATCCATACAGTCTCTCTCTCCCTCTCCATCCCCAACCCTTCCTAGAACCGTCTTACCCCAGGGCACTCTGGATGCATCCTCTGTCTCTGCCCCTGTCCACCACTTTACCCAAGGCTACCTGTGCCCTTACCTGTCGGCACTGAGGGCCGTGAGGGTGAACACGGAAACCCCTACGGAGGTGAGCTGGATGACTGGGATCAGCTTGCAGCCCACCTCGCCAAACACCCACTCGTCAAACAAGTAGCGCGAGGCGTCCACGGGGACGCAGGTGAGCAGCAGCAGCACGTCCCCGGCCGCCAGGTTAGAGATGAAGATGTTGGGGACGCTCCTCATGGCGCTGTTGGTGATGAAGATCTTCACCAGCGTGATGTTGCCCAGCAAGCCCACCGCGATGATGAGCAGGTAGAGGGACGGGATCACACAGCGGATCACCAAGTCGGCCGCGTTTCCCCCGGAAGCGAGCAGGACATTCCTCTCGGGCACCTGGGGATCTGAACGGCTGTGATTTGCTCCCCCGGTCAGAGAGAGGTTGGAAAGAGACTTGACAGACATGGTCTCCTTTCCAGGAGAGTCCCCTGGAGTTTTCATGCCCTCAGGTGCCTGAAAAGTGCAGCGCGCAAGGTTGGGGCGCATCGATCTGTATCTTGGAATACTGGCACTGAACCCCGAGTTTTTCTCCTAACTCTTCCAGAAAGACTTACATTTTGGGGGTCTCAATATCCATACTTGGAAAACGACAAGATTGAGCTAGCTGATCTGCAAGGAAGAATAATAGACACTTCATACCCTTAAGATATGTAAAAAGCATTCTTGATATCAAAGATTCATTTTTACAGCATTGTTTCAAGATACTGAAGTCTGGTACCTATCTGTGAAAACCCCCCCCGGTGCAGAGGAGGACGGACCCTGGTGACAAGTCGGTCCGCACGCGCAGGGGCTTCCCTTCCAGATGCCGTGCCTTGGCTCCCGCTAACTCTGGATTTAAACTAAAAAAGAAAAAAAAGAAAAGCGGTCGCTTCTTTGTTCCGTCTCCGACGGTTTATTGTCGCTTACAGCGGCGGACGACAGCCCTTTGGAGAACAAGCACTTTTCCTCTGGCATTAGTGGAAGTACCCTCCCGACTGCTCGCGGGCAGCAGAAGTCCCCCTGGCACTGTCCTGCGAGCCTCAGCTGGAACACTGGGAATCAGCGTGGGGCCTTTTTCTCGTCCCATAGCTGTCGTTTCTGCGGTTCCTGCTGTATTGTGTGGAATTACAGGGGAGCCGAATCTTTTCTCTCACACTGTCCCTATGCACGTCCATCCTTACACGCCCCAGGCACGAGGTTTGTGAACCTCTGACATTTGAAGGCTGAGCTGGCCAAGTCCATGTTGTTCAAACACTGAATTTAGGAAAGAGAACAAGTGACAAAAAGTGAAGTAAATGAACGGAACCCTCACCCCACTCTTGCTGTTATCCACTTTTCTTACCTCAAATATAGAAACTTTTGGCATGCTATTTTTAAATTTGCATTTTTATTGAAATATAATGTGCATAAGGTACACATTTCTTAAATCTAGCCACCATTCAGAATCAGCAACCTAACCATTTCCCAAACTAAATAGCTATTCCACCTGTTATCACCTTACATTAGTTTACCTGTGCTTGAACATCACAAATGGAATCTTCAGTATACATTCTTGTGTCTAGCCTCTTTCACTCAAAGTTGTACCTGTGAGATCCACCCATGCTTTTGCGTGTAGCATTTCTCGCTGCTGTATAGTTTTCCACTTTATATCACTGCTTATTTATCCATTCTAGTGCTGAATGACATTTGGATTCTTTATCATTTTAGCCAATCTGTATATTTCTATGAAAATTCTTGTACATGTCTTCTGATACACATTTAAATAAATCCCAGGTGCGGATCTGCTAGATCACAGTGCCTGAGGATGTTCAACTATAGTAGAAATTGACAATTTTTCAAAATAAATTATAAACTTTTTTTTGGGGGGGGGATACTTTCTTGACAGTATCTATTAAGGGTCAATATATTTAGTCCTACGACTGAGCAATGCAATTCTCAGGTATATACCCAAGAAATATTGGATATACTATTTCAAATAGGACGTCCCTAAGATTAAAATAACTTCTCAAATCACCACTGAGTCTAATATAAACCGTTCAGAAATGGTGGCTCAGTTCTGGAGTAAGCTAAATAACACTCTTTTCTTTCGGTTTTTTTTTTGTTGTTGTTGTTGTTGTTGTTGTTGTTGTTTGTTTGGTTCTGGTTTTTTTTTTTGTTTTTTTTTTTTATTAATACTTTTTTATTCTGGAAAAGCAAATGAAAATCATGTTCATGTAAACACTGACATTACAAAGTACAGGGAAGAAGGGATGGAAGAAGGAAACAAGGAAACAAAACCTGCTACAAATCCTGCTAATACTGTCTCACCCAACAAGAACACTCTTTTATTAGTAAAAACATTTGTCTAGTTCTTGGTTAAAGGATAAAATTGTATGATAACAAGAAACTCAGTCAAGGAATACCTGCAATGATCTGGCCACAAGCTGGTAAAATGTGTACATATGCAAAGTCATTTGTAAATTAAGCAACTTTTTCAGATATTGCCCACTAAGAACAGTGTTTCATTGTCATAGTTGAATTAAACAAGGTAAATATTTGTGTCATAATCAATTTTATGTTTTCTAACTCAATTACAAGTCCTTAATGTACTCTTCTTGAATTTTGCTACTTATAATAATGCATTATAAAGGTAAGATTGGCTAAATAGAATGCTCATATACATATATTTAAATATGTATAAATTTATATTTATATAAAACATATATACCAAGACAATATTACATATAAATTAGGAGATGTCTATAGGAATTTTATCTCCAAAACTACTTAAGTTTTCTCTTTTAACAACCAATCTCATTATTGCAAATAAATTACTAGAGTAATTTTCTAAATTATGAAATGTCTCAAACTCTCAAACTGTAACTATCCCATTTCAATTATTTCATGTGATGATATATTGGAATCTAAATTACTGTATGAATTTCTATAATCTTCTCTGGTTGTGTCTGCATGACCCTAACTATTTAGATAAGAATAATATTTAGTCCTCAAAATGAATTGACCAATCTAATTGGCTGGCATTGTAGAAACAAGGTATCAGAACTGAATTCTTTCCACTTCAAGTAAATATATGTGTATTTACTTAAAGCCTTGAGTTCGTGGTAGTGAAGAGTATAACCAATACTTTAATAATGATGACTTTACTGATACCTTATTGAAATAAATATAATAAAATTATTATGGCTATGTAAATATAACTTAGGCACACTATGAAATTATGCATAGGAACAAGAGTATTGTCTCATTTTTAGGGAATCAATATAATCAGAAATAACCACCTACTGAAGGGACAAACGTTTTTATTGTATTCAGTGTGCCATATGCCATGTTAGGCTCCTTATACTCATTTCTCATTTAATGTTTATAAATATTCTTAGAGGTAAGCATTTGAGTCTTAATTTTAAACATGACACAATTAAAACTCATAGAGGCAAGACAACATGATTAAGTTTTAAAAGACCTCAGTAAAACTGTGTTTTGAAGCTTACTATTTTTGACTTCAATATCTGTTGTATTTTATTGATCCTAGAGAAAAAAATTGTGTAAAAAAAATGTGGTTTCTATAAAAGTGAAGGACACATTTTAATCCTGAGGTATTAAATGTGTATAAAATATGCATTAGACAATTTACTGCCCTAATATAAAAACTATTCAAAGCTCCATTCTTGCTGTTTCAAATTCATTGGCGTGTTTTAGTTATCGTGTAAATGCACATGAGGAATTTGAAATTTAAACTTATTTCATACTTGTCAGGTACCTGCTCCAATGTATCTATCCTTCAGTGTATATTATGAAGGAAATGTTAAATATTATACTTATGAAGACATTTTATAGATATTTCCTTAAGATCATGAACAAGATAAATATACCCACTATTATCACTGTTATTTAACACAGGAGAGGATTCTCTAGCCAATGCTGTAACAACAGAAAAGGAAATAAAAAGCATGAAAATTAAAAGGAAGGGGATACTAATACAAAGGCATAATATTAAAAACAGGGTGGAATTGGCACAAGAATAGAAAAAAAAATCAATGGAAGAAAATAAAAAGCTTAAAGAGAATTGCATGTAGACAAGGAAATTTAATATTAAAAAGCGTGCTGCAACAGATGAACACAGAAAAATGTAGGCTACCTAATGGATAATACTGGGAAGACTGGTTCATACACAAGAAGAATAAAACTGGGTCTCTGTGTAAAACCACATATAGTGTTAGAATTCCAGTGCATTAAAGGTCACAGTGTGAAAAGTAATCTGGGAAAGATAATGGAAGAAAATCTCAAAGAATATATATGAGGCCAAGGGAGTGGGTAGTGATTTCTATTTCAAGTCAATATGGGAGTAATAGATAATACATTAAACAAGTAAAGAAAATAGACAAAACAGATGACACAGTAGTTTTTAGACATTGAACAAGAGGCAGCACAAAATAGTGATCCATGAGATAGGGTAAACAGATGAGGTGAGCTCTACAATTGCTCCAACTTACTGTCTAGAGAAAGACTGTTCAGGCCATACACAAGAATAAGGAATGCAGACTGAGTTTGGAATTCTCTATAACTTAAAGAGATGGAGTTGGGATTTCAGGGAGACCAAGATGGCTGGAATTTGCAGGGCAGAGTTCTAGAAAAAGAGAACCGCACAGAGAGACAACAAAGTATTCCCCCTTCAGTTTTCACCTAAATATTTATCTCTGAATGTATGTGAGAAATCAGCTAAGGCTTAAGAAAAAACTACCCAAAAGAAATAGGGAAAAAAATGATCTATAGATTAATCAGCACTTTAAATGAGTTGTATAATCACCAGCAAGAATGTAAAAGCCTTGTAATGAACAGGCTTTGGGTAGAGTACTCAACAGGATATTGTGTCTGTATTTAGGAAAAATTAGGCACAGACTAAGGGTTTCTCTGATCTTGCCTTCCAAACTCAAAAGCAAGGATTGAAATAGTAAAACTGGTTCTAAGAAACTTAATGGCATTTCAAGATAAAATTCAAGAGTATTTAAAGTGATGTTTGAACTATGCAGCACCCAACACGAGAAAATCAAAATGTCTGGCATGCACTGAACAATTACCAGACATGCAAGTCAGTAGGAAAGTGCAACTAATTCTGAGAACAACAATCAGTTAATTGAAACTAAGCTAATAATGACACAGATGATACAATAAGTAGATAATGGCATTAGAAATTTTAATAAAACTATTCCATGTGTTTAAGAAGGAAGAGTAAAACATTAGCAAGTTAAGGAAAGATATGGAAAATATGAAAAGACATACATTAAACATATACAGAGAAAAAAACTATGATTAAAAACAAACTTTATATAATTAATAGCCTATAAAATACTGAAAAAGAAAAAAATAGTGAAATGCAACATAGTAATAGAAACTATACAAAACAAAATACCTGAAAGGAAAAGACTGGG